GTGTGTGTGTGTGTGTGTGTGTGTGTGTGTGCATGTGTGTGTGTGCATTACTAACATCTGTCCCACTTGTGTTTGCAACACCAATTAAAAGCCTTGACCCGTGGTAATTTAAATTGTAAAAACAAATCCAGCTGTCTCATTTCTAAAATGGAGTTCGCAAAAACGTTACCAACAAACATGTTGAGGCAGCTGTGGCCCTGGAGGTAGAGCGGCTCATCCAATGACCAGAAGGCCGGCAGTTTGATCCCAATCTCCCCCTTCCATACCTCTAACCGAATTCCATGCCGAAGTGTAGTTGGGCAAGATACTAAGTGTGTGATTTGTTGGTGATAGAGAAATAAGCACTGAATGAATGTGTGTGGGTGAATGGCAAAACTGTACTGTAAAGTGCATTGAGTTGTTGTCAAGACTAGAAAAACCATTGACTATTTAACTACTCACCATGTCCTGACTCCAAATACATAAAGTACATAATGCACAAACATCCATCTTCTCGTTGAATTCTCTGAAATATAACTTTAATGTGAAGCCAAATGTTCACTTTCTTTTCTTTTGGTACTTTTAATTGCTGTGACGCTGTTGGTGGTGGCAGGGGAGAGGCAGCATGCAGTGTAAGGGAGAAGGGAAGGTAACATTGAGCGGGGTCGCTGGATCCTGGCATGTTCATCTCTTATGATTGTCTTGATCCTCTATAGAGATCCTCTTAGAAAGCGAAAAACACAATGTTTTTGCTTTCTAAAAAGATGGAATATGGTTCGTCATGGCAACAGTGTGTGGCTGTGAGCTGTTTCTAATGGTGTCTTGAAAACAGTGGGAGCCTTTGTTTTCCAGAAGGCAAAGCAGCAGTAGAAGAGAGTGTGGGAGCTTCTGACTGTGCAAAATACATCAGCGGGTTTAGATATTTCATGAGCGTTAAATGTGCTGGGTAAAAATACTCTGGTAATATCCTTCAGATGCTGGACTAAGTAGATTAAATTTAGTCTATTTTTCCATCGGTTGTCAGTTTATAACGTGATCAGACCTCTTTCTTTTTCAAGTGTAACATTACCCCTTTTCACCCCCTCTAATCCAGATTGCTGAGACATCGAACTCATTCCTGAATCGAATGCTGAACAGAGACACCATCACAAGAATAACATATAAAAGTAAGTGATTGTGGAGAAATCGAAATATCGAAACATCTGGACCACTTCTTGTCGTTTACCGTTCAATACACCTGCATGTTCGTAATGTTCTGTTCTCTTGTCATGTGTTAATGTTCTGGAGCTACTTCAGAATTATTCTCAAACAGTTCTACAATACACTGTGACTTTTTATTGTTCGTGTGCTGGACGTTGTGTGCAGAGCTTTTTATAAACAGTCTATGGTGCAGAGTGAAGTTGAACTTGGTTCATTTGCAATGATTTTATAGTTTTTATAAAAGAAACTGAATTGTTATTACTGTTTGTGTGTGTGGCTTACATGTCTGTTTGAATGACATATATTTTTTCATAACCGGCTAATTCAGAGGTCTTTCAAACCATCAACACAATCTTCACACCCAAGTTCATAACTTTTACAACTCCCAAATAAAAGCTCTGTAATTTATATACAGCATTGCAGCAATGAAATTAATGTTGTGCTTTTACAGTGAAGACAAGTTGATATGAATGCTTCTGCCGTGAAGGAGATTGGCAACGGTGACACTGCTGAATGTCCGATATGATGAAATGAGAAAAGTTTAGACGATCAAGATAATCTGAAACGATTCTGACCCGTGGTTCGACCCAGCTGCCGACCGCTGCTATAGTTTATCTGAGGATGTAGAAGAATGTTCAACTCAGGCCACAGACTGAAGGCACCCCGCCCCCACTGGCTGCTGCAGAGAACCCTGTTTATACATATTTTTAGTAATATAAACGTATCATGTGTCCAAATTGCATCAAATTCACACAGCAACAAATCCATCAAGTTTGAAGATGATCGCATGAGCGCTAGGTGAGAAAATTAAAGGACGGACAGAAATACAAATAGTAGGATGCTGCATCTCTCTTACCAAGGCCCCCATGCTAACTGCTTCAACAGGTAAGTGGCCATTCTGAGCTATCGTTGGCTATGATTGCAAAAATGCTGTTTGAGGGAGGACTTTACCAAACAGTCAATTGTTCAACAATCAAATAGTTTTTACTTTTACAGACGCTTTGGTTCTCTCATGGCATCATTATTTCATTTCAAGTGAGAGTTCAAGGAATGCTGCGGAACAAGGATGACGAGAGGCCTGCATGAGAACTCTTGATAGCTGGAGGAGGATGTTGGTGAGGAAGCATGTTAGGCAGCAGTCGACAGCTGCTCTCCCGAGGTTTCCCTCTGCCAGCCTGCCATGGTGCAGAAGCAGCATAGGCACAGAGATGGCCCGGGGCTATCTTGAAAAAAGAGACGAATAATTGGATTAATGGGGGGAGCAGTGAGGGGCTGCATAAACACACTGACCCCTTGTGGCAGGGAGGAGTCTCAGAGGCACTGAGCGGCACAAGAGGCTGCCGGCGAGGGGTAGGTGGGGTTGGTCCTCCGGGTCCAGCTGGAGGAGCATGGATTCTGACAGCTGTCAAAACTCCCTCAGATACACCATGTTACACACACTGACACACACAGATTCGCACACTGCCCCCTCATGCTTATGAGTCCTTAAGCGCATCCCCTCTCAGCCAGTAATGCTGCCAGACTAACTCTTCTTTAAAAGCACATATGTGCACACATGCACATCATCCAAAGAGAATTATTTATTTCAACCACACCATCAAAGATCACCGATAGAACTTCATCTTTTGTAGGTGGAGGCGTAATAGCATATCGAGCAGAACAGAGAACAGGGATTTTCTCAGTTTAAGCTCGACCGCTAAATCTTTCATGAATTAATATTCTTTTGATGAATACTCTTAACAACATGCAGTATGTAATAGTGATCCAGAACACAATGGAATTAGCATTAAAGCTGCAACGGTCCATCACAGTGACCCCATCAAAAATACGCGGCCCATTTGTCAGCAGAGGCCCAAGAGATGACAAGTTATTGGGAGCACGCTATTGAAGTGTGAAGAGGAAGAGAGAGAGAGTTGCAATCTGTCTAATTAGAGTCCTGACAGTGGAGACAGTTTGGATAAAAGATCTTTTGTGCTGCATCACCAACAGCCTGTCATTCACAGAACAGTAAATGATATGTGAAATAAGAAGTGGGAGAAAACGTTTGGAAAGATGAGCTCAGTGTATGAGCGGGGGGGGGGGGTCTGTGCGTGCATGTGTGTGTGTGTGTGTGACTAAACCCAGACATGATTATTGAAATTTTATTGGAGCCTACATTATTTTTCAAATACACTGTACCCTCTATATACTCCCCTCAAAAATTTTATATATATTTTGATGCTAAAATACTGTAACAATCCAATGTAGACTTACCACAAGCGACAGGATCGTGAAACAATGTTTTATGCTCTTGTAAACGACACAAGTCTGTATGAAACCATCTGCGTTTTGAGAGAAATATGTTTTATTTGTGATGTCAAGGAGAAATACGACACTCCCCCCAATCCACAGGTATAATAGCCACGTCTCTGATTGGTGGAGCTCGCTGTTGACATGGTAATGTTAACCACAACCATGGAAATCATGTCAGCTGCGATCAGATCATTCAGTGTTACTGCACTAGGTTATTAAATTAAACTCCATATGAAATACTACTGTATATACATACATACGAGATACAAACAAATATATTGCAACACTATATTATTAAAAATCGCAATGGTTCAGGGGAAGCGTAGTTCGTTCACTCTTAAAAAAATTGTGTTCACAGAACCTCTGCCTTTTTTTTTTCCAATAAGTTTTTTGCTCCAAATCAAATGTTTTATGGTCGAGATTAATGTTGCCAGGATTAAAAAAGGATTTAATGAACATCAATGGAGAAAATTGATGTAAAACATCCTGAATCCCAGCCATTCTAAAAGTGGGCAGACACAGTTATGCTCTATAAAAAAGCGTCAACAGCATCTATAAAGATTTGAACCCCTAAATCCCTAACCCTACAGCAGTGGTCAGCAATTATGCAATAATATCTGTCCTCATTTTCATAATTCTATTATTTTTATTTCACCATATCAGACTGACACAGACATTCTCTGTGTTCCGGGTACTAATCTCCTTCTGCAGCAACACGGCAGCTCTACTCTGAAATGTTGTGAACTTGGGTCTGAAGATTGTGCCGATACTTCACAGACCTCTGAAATGCAATGGAACAAAAAAGCACCAGCTCAGCAGATCAATCAAACTTATATGTGAGCCACACACATGAGCCGTTATAAAGAGAGGCGAGAAGAACTGTTCGAGGAGGACTCAGTAATTCCAAGGAATCGTTCTTAATTATCTCTGGAGCGTACACTAAGCTAAGCTAACAGCTCATTCCAAACAGATTTAGAATGCGCACGGCACTAGTATAATTAAGTGATTATTACACAATAAGAGAAAAATAAATAAATGATGCTACAAATTGCTTGTTTTCCTGAATCTTCTCTAATGTTTGTGAAATACTTATTTTACATTTGCAAGCCTGTTAAAAAAACTGCAGTGCTGTATCACCCTCTTGTGATATATAATTATTATTCCCTTCTCGCTGCAGATGATGCGTATCTACTGACTGGCCTGAACATAGAGGAGATTTACCCAGAGACAAGTAGTTTCATCACATACGATGGATCGATGACCATCCCTCCGTGCTATGAGACCGTCACATGGATCCTGATGAACAAGCCTGTGTATCTCACACGTATGCAGGTGAGCTCTTGCCACCAACTCACACCTGAAACACAACTCTCAAAATACACTGAGGATTGTCTGTCTCTGCTGTAGAGACGTGTCTATGGAGGACAATTACTGTCACAGATTTGGTGATACACCATTTAATCAATTAATAACTCATTGTGTAAATGTACATATCAATATATAAATCTTTAAATAAAAAAATAAATTCCATTTGATGTTTTCATGGACAATAAAGAGCAGAATTCTGAATAATTTATCCCAAAAGAAATATGAATCTGTCGATAAATAGTTATTTTTAAGAAATATTGAAAGGAATATTGCTTCATCATTCAAGTTCTCATATGAAATATCTGTAAATTATTTTAACCTAATTAATTAAAATATCAACTAATTCATTATTTTGTATTTTATTCTTTTTGAATTTAGTATCGACTTTTAGTTTAAAATTAATTAATTTATATAAGAATTCATAAGGCTTTTACTCAGAAATGTTCTCAGCCCTTCCTCTGTCGAATCCCTCTACTGTCTGGCTGGACGATAATGCAGTGGATTCAGGCCATGCTCACATTTCCATGGTTCCTATGCAACTTTTCTCTTCTCCTCTTTCCCTGCCTCCCTCTTTTATTTAAGATGCACTCTCTGCGCCTGCTGAGTCAGAACCAGCCATCGCAGATTTTCCTTAGCATGAGCGACAACGTTCGCCCGGTCCAGCCGCTGAACAACCGCTGCATCCGCACCAACATCAACTTCCGCATGCAGGGCAAGGACTGCCCCAACAACCGGGCCCAGAAGCTCCAATACCGAGGTAGAACTGACTAATGAATTCACATTGCTTTTTTTTTTTATCTCTGTCTCCATCGTGCAAGTTCATGATAGGACGACCACTCAAAGTACTTTACACTGTGAGTCACTTTCACCCATCCATATAAACATTCATCCAGTACATCAGGTGCAGTTACTTGCCCAAGCACACTTCAACATGTAGGGATCCTGGGATCAAACCGCCAACCTTCAGATTAATGGATGGCCCACTCTTCCTCTTGAACCAAAGCTACATTTCATTAGTCAACACATTATATTCATGAACCTACTAGGTGTTCACCAAATTCACTCTGAAGTAAAATTCCAGTTTGTGTGTCTATGTCCACAGAAAGGAACTCTGCTTGTTCATTGCTGTCACTAATCTCCATTGTGATAGTATTTCCATTGTGTGGATATGTAGTTGCGTTGTGTCTGGTGTTTTCGGTTAATGCACTTGTGTGAGAATTATCGGCTACTGCATAGAGCTCCGGGAGTCGATCACGCAATCCCATCATTCAACAGTCAAAATCAAAACACCGCCATTTTGTTAGGAAAGCGCGAGTTGCTGGTCAAACAACTTCTAGCAGGTAGTGTTGTGCCCCAGAATGCCAGAACAGTGGAGGGCAAGGAAAGGGGAGAGCATTTGATCGGATTCCTAAAGGTCCTGAAAGACGACACAAATGGATTACTGCCACAGAACGTGCTGGAAGCAAGCAGAAGAAACCGGAGCAATGGGACCCCACAAGCAATGGATTCCGCTTGTGTAGTGACCACTTCATATCAGGTATAAAATACAAAGCTTCCTAACTTTAATATCATATTTATTTAATAGGTTTTATCACAGCGTCAGCTAGACCTATGCATTATGGCGTGAATTTGCAGGGCTAACAAAGACTAATTAACATACAAGTTAGCAAACCGATTAATCCAGTTACATTACAGTGTCCGTTGCCTATGTTAACGTTAACTACGATGAAGTGACACTTACCCTTCCAGTGATGATGAAGTTATCTCCAGAGTAGGACGACGGGAAGTTAATCAGGTAGTTATAGATGTCTGGATACTGCAGGTCGGGAACATTGTCCGCTGCGGCTGTTTCAGTACTCGTGAAGAGCACCCCGGGGGCCATTATACGGGTCAGTAATGTTTAATCGATCAAGTTTTGCAATATATCGTTCAATATCCTTGGAACTAGTGTGCAGTGAACTCTGGCAGCTTGAAATCAACACTGGCGCCATTCATTTTGACTCAGACTTTTCCTGGCAACAAGGCGGTGTAAACAAAATGAGTCACGTGACGCCCGGAGCGCCATCAACCAATTTTGTAGAACTTATGATTGCAGCATAATAATTAAAAGTTAATGATATATATGGATTAGGGAAAAACAGAAATACCATGGTCCATAATAAGGCACTGTCTTATATCCTCCCCATTTTTTCTACATAGTTGCCATTACTTGAGGGTAAGATCATTTGGATAGTCATTTTTATCTTTGGAAATGTTTCTGCAGTGAAGTCGGTCCAGTGTGATTGACCGTCCACTCAAACACCACACCTGCTGAGTCAAACGGCCACTATCATGAGTATTGTTCCCCCCACTCACCTGCCCCTCCACGCTCATCTGTCATTAACCCTCACTGGCAATGTTTCCCATTCACACAATAATCACACAGCACAGAGCTTCACATAATGGCTGCAACTACCTGGTGAAAATTGAAAAACAGTCATTCATAGAGAGCCCCAGACTCATGCCAATAAAGCTCACACTCTACAATATTGGATTTATCCCTAGCTAAACATGTTACATCAATGATTCTATTTCTAAACATGGTCTTAACTTTTGGTTTTAAACTGAAAACTGAATGACTTTATCTTCCTCAGACACTTAGTCTTCCCCTAATTTCACTTTTTTTAAAGTTCAGTAGACAAACATAAAAGAGGAGGTGGTAGTTTCGGCTTTTACCTAATGTCCCTTTTAGAGATTTTCTAACACACAGTAGAATACTCAGAAAAGCACAACTCACTGTGACTCTCTACCCCCTCTCAAAAGATGATGCAGCGTTTTTATGATTCAACTTTATGTCCAGTGTTCCTATCGGTCGTGATAAAATCATTTTTCTCCGATTTAAACCATCATTTTAATGACCACGATGATTCAAAGTTATTACGAGAGGTATCCATATCAATTGATATTTTCATTAGGTACAATTCAACACAAAAGAACACAACAAATGTATTTATCAGTAATTTATCAGCTGAAAAAAATGTGTTGAAAAGCTGAGAGAAGATGGAGGAAAAGGAAATGACATGTTCCCTTTAACATCTTTCAACTTTTAATTGTCAATAATGCAGACAGTAAAGTGAGACAAGTCTATTTCAAGATGATTTCAGAAGACTAACCCCAGAATGCTTTCTTCCATAACTGAATGGGTTTTAAATCCATCACCCATTCCTAGTCTTCATAACAACACTCAAATGCAACTAATGTGGTGATGGATTTAAAAAACACGGTCAGTTGTGGAAGAAAGCACTCTCCCAAGAAATGATATTAAACCGCTGTCTTAATTAAGGCATCTTCCCCGCAGGTCATTAAACGTCAGTGCTAATTTCTAATCTGCCTTTTGCAGCAGATAAATATTGTGGATTCTGTGTGGGGGGAGGGGGGACTTTTTTTGTGGTGCTTTGTTCTTACATATCAGAGACTCATTGTGAATGATATGGCATTCCTCAAGGAAACATTGTTGGCCCATTGTTGTTTTCATTATACATGCTCCCACTAGGAAACATGATTAACCATCACCATGTCAACTACCATTTGTATGCTGATGACACAGTGGTACACGTCGGTTTCCCCAAATGACCCCAGTGCGCTGCTTGCTCACACTGCTTGTCTCACTGACTTTAATGGGTGGATGAGTAAAAACATTTTAAAAATTAAATGAGAAATAAAATATTTTACAGTGTTCAGAGAAAATCTATGCTCTATGCTGGGTGGTCTTAGATCACACATCACAAAATTGGGATACTGATTAAGTGATTTCAGACTCAGATCTTAATTTTATATGCAGTATATATAAAACCTTGTGCTCTATAACTTTCTATCTGTAATCAGTAGGTAAAAAGGGGAGTTCCACCAAAATGTAGCTGGAGTTAAACTGCATCATCTATTCTGTGCTTAACAGTGAATGTGTGCCAAGACACTAAAAAGGAGCTAAAGGGATGAGAATTCTAACGTTTACAAGGTTTGTGGACTGCAACCTGGAAGATCCAAACACAACCTGGTTCATCTTCAGTTCAAACATGAACCCATGTTGATGATTATGACTGTGAGGTTGTGATCTGAAAAGACGTGCACTACTCTAAAAGACTACTTTCTATCTACTTACCGGAATTTCTTTCCCGTGCCACTTGGTGAAGCCATAGATGGACTGTTCGACTTCTGTGTGGATGTCTCTGTTCCAGCCAAAACAGTTTTCCCAAGAGCAAGCCCTGGGTGACCAGGGACATCGGAGCACTCCTAAAAGAGAAGAATAGAGAAGTCAGGACAGGAAGGAAGTAAATAGGAACCAGAAATAGCTGTCAGTGAATATCAGACAAGGAAAGGAAGCCTGTAGGGGGAAGCTGGAGCAGAGGAAGAAGGACCATTAGTTACAGGGACTGCAGTCAGATGGTAACAATGATAAAGCCAATGAGTCATCAACGGTGACACCACTGTCGTCCATTTCGGTGGACCAGGTGATAAGGTTGCCTCTGTGGGCAAGGTCAACGCTGTAGTGGAGGGGGGCAGAAACCTGAGGGTGGCTGACATCAACAGACCTGAAAAACCTGAAAGACTCACAAGACTGGCTCAGTCCTAGGGGTGCATGTAGTTGTGTGGAGGACAAAGACATTAACACTTCTCTCCATCATCAACAATGTTGGCCACAGAGTACTCTAGTGAGCCAGAGGAGCACATACAGCCAGAGACTATGCACCAGCAAAAGCCAGGCCACTCACGCAACTGTCCTATCACCATCCTTGCGTGCCCTGAACAAAACACGTTTCCCCAGAGAGCGGTAGCTGGCGCTGTTGGCATGCTGCAACCCGACGCTTCCTGTTGGTGCTAGCTGCAGCACTTGATGTTTGTCAGATGCCGTGCAGCGGCACTGAGGCGGCAGTGTGTTCTCAGCTGAAGCGCTCCACAGGAGGTCCTTCTTTCCTTTGGCCATTTCTCCTCTTTCAGCACATTTTCATCAGTATTCTGCTGCTAAACTACTTTAAATTGTTGACCCACATTAGACTTTTTTATACAACTTGGCACATCACGCTAAATTTACTGTTAATGTAGTTTTACATTTTTGGACTTCTGCATTGTACATTTTCTCTCCTCACTATTTTACACTAGTTTTGACTTATTTACTTCCTCCTTCCCAACTGAGTGTTGAGCAGTTGTAACAAAGTAATTTCCCTGCAGGCATCATTAAAATTTTCCTGACTCTGATTTTAATTACTTATTTATATTCAGTTACATATTTAAACTACCTGACAACCTCTCACTGCCTTTTGTCAGTTTCCAGGCTCCATGAGGTTACCTTTTTAGCCGTGTTGCCCACCCATATCCCAGCAGTCACTTTGATGCGAACAATATCTCACATAAATGATAGGAATAGATGTAGGAACTTGAAAAAATAAGGTCCAATTTGCAGTGGAGCAGAATTATCACTTAAAATTCAAGGCAACTCTCTTTAAAGGTATAAATTCACTAAACCCAGATATGTTGCAGTTGCTGCAGCTATTTACGTCCCGTGAACTGCAAGATGTATTATTTGGTCATTAAGGAAAATGTATTTTTACTCGTTAAACTCAGCTTCAGGGGGCAACATTCCTCCTAAATGTCCCTGATGTAATTTGTTTTAGGAACGACATCTACATTCATTCCAGGGGATTATTGGTTGATCTGGACTCCCTATTATAATTAATAAACTTCGTATCAAATTGGATTGCTGCGCTGAGAGTCCACTAAGGGTTGTTAAAATGCAGACTGCAGATTGATGTGCTAAAGAAGGAGAAAATTAAACGGGCAGTACAAAGTGAGACGGCAGGACAGTCTGAACACCTGTTTGGCTCTGACTGACAGAGCTGGCTAAAAACTGGCTCGTCACAGCTCACTGCAACCTGGGAGGTGTTGCCGCAGTCTGTCATCTCCTCTGCTCTGTTTCAGCCGATATATCTGGTGCACAGAATGTTCCCTTTCACCCCTGAAGCGAAAATACGCTTAAGGCGAGAGGTTCCCCGAGTCTCTGCTAGTCACTGTGTTATTTTGGTCTTTTTATTTTTTTGCTTAGTATCTGCTGTACTGTGGCGGACACGCATCATCATTGTCTTTCCGTCTGCATCTCTCTCTCTCTCATTCTCTCTCTGTTCAGCTTGACTCATCCTTCTTTCGCACCTTAAGAGATGGAATTCTTATTCAGTGCAGCAGTTGCGGGGAGATTTCTACCCTGGCCATCCACCTCAGACCCTCCTGAGCAAACAAACTTCATAGAGCAGACCAAAAAAAAAAACCGCCAAACAAACATTAGAAGAACTGCTTGCATAATTGTTTGGAGATTTGAAGGCGAGATGAAGTGCAGCGATGTGGGGGCGTCTCATTAAAAGCAAAAATATATCTCTGATTATTTGCGTAAGGTCAACCTTTAGAGCGCAAGCACCGAGACACAGTTGTCGCCCTCCCAGGGAAGGTGATCACAGAGGTGACTGAATGTGCAGTGACGGAGGTCGGGGAGCTAATAATGTTGTGTATGTATTTGTTTGTTTGCCTTTTATGTGTAACACCTGAAGAAAGGAAATATGATTATGATAGCACTCTCTTAATAAATCCCTTCTTTCACAACCGAGAGGCTCCTTTTTATCAAATTACAGTGTTTACTGGTTCTTGGCATCTCCTCGTGTCTGGTATAATTTTCTGTCAAGGCTGCCATTCAAAGCATAATGGAACCAATTCAGACCCCCCCCCCACCCCAATAGCACCCATCTACCACCACATACCTGGGCTCATTCATTCAATTCACTAGAGTGCCGTTCCTTTTTAAATTGTATGTTATCGCTAAAGATGAAATATGGTGTGTGTGTGTGTGTGTGTGTGTGTGTGTGAGTTTGGGGGGGGTTAATGCCGGAGAGCAGTTGAACTATGGTGAGAGCTGCATATATAAATCACTATTCTCACTCCTGTCCTTCTCCTCTCTTCCAGTGAACGAGTGGTTGCTAAAGTAGCCTCCCTTGGATGAGCATGGAAACGAGTGTCAGAGATGGAGAGCGGGAGCGGGATGAGGCTAAGGGAAGGAGGGGAGGACGGAGGAGGTGAACCCTGGTTTGAGGCTGCATCTCATCTAAGATTATTTCATGGCATTGTATAAAGACAAACAACACCAGACATTATCTGAATTAAGGGACTTTGCATTGCGAGCAAAGAGACTTCTCTTTTCATACATACAGAACTGTTTGAACCCTCGATCTAACACATGCTAACAAGTCCTTTCCCCCACTGTACGACTATATCTATACGGACATTTTGATACCAATACTTTTTTGGGAGAAAACAAAAAGAGACACTTGGAAAGAAACTTAAAAAAAAATGTTGAAGCATTTATTTGATAGCCTCCCAACCGCTAGGAGAACGTTGGGACTTTAAAGCCTTTGTACATAAAGTTGTTGCTATCAACAGGAAAATCCAAGGACTAAGTCACTGCCCCCACCCTGCCGGTCAAGACCTAAAAGTGAAGTCACCCTGATCCACACGGACGTTTCATTACAGTCACGAACAAGGCATGCAGTCAGCGAAACCAACAGAGAGGGAACACCGCCTTACCTTGTCATTTTCCAAAACTAGAGTCATGTCATGGGAGACGAGTAAATATTTACGGGCTTTCTTACGGCCTCAGAGCAACCAGTGTCTTGGCCTCGTTTGTACATATTATAATTATCAATACTGCAGAAAAATCAATATGTAAAGATACGTAATGAATTAACATTGAAAAGATATATTAAGAGGAGTTGAGAATTTTAAAAAGCTTGGCGCACTTTGAATTCTGGAACAGCTCTCAGTCTGAGCTGATGCCTTTTTTCTGTTTTATTGTTTACAATGGTCATACACTGTGTTTGAGTAATGTTATCAGCCCAATAAATGTGTCTGAAAAGTTCACTTTGGAAAATGCTTCACTATATGAGGATCTGACTTATTGTATCTGTACCTGTTTTGTACCGTTCCATATTAAATGTGTTGATATGTCAATATAACCCCTATAGGCGTGCTCAATAACGCCAGCACCACAGAGAAATCACCGAAGATCTCATGATAGCGTTTCCTTGACAGAGCATCCGAGCAGCCTGGCTCACTTAGCGTCGTTTCTGTCATACAGACAAAGCTTATCAGCCGCGCGCAGAGGAAGCTCTGTCAGTGTTACCGTGACTTGTCATGGTCTTTCAAATCACATCAGCAGCCATCAGGGGACAAAGAGGACAGGCCTCTGCCCCCCTCCTGTGCTGATGGTGGAACACAATGCCTAACACAATGTTGTCTTTACAAGGAGCTGAACAACTTTGTCAGGATCCTCTGACTGGTTCACTATAAGTGGTTAATGTGGCGGAGGTTGGGGAAAGGGGAGTACACAACGCAAAACAAGAAACAGATGTGTAGGAAATCAGCCCACAGAGAAAACAGTTTAATAAAAAAAACACTAGTTATATAATAATAGTAAATATTGAAGGACAGTCAGAGAGTGCATGGCTCCGCCGAGGCTTGACAGTCCCCTAATGAAACCATGTTTAAACAACTCCTAAATATCAGTCGCCTTAATGTGTCAGATTTTTCTCACCAAGACTCTTTCTCTGGTAAATAAATGAAAAATCTATATCTACCTAATTTAAATCTAATATTAAAGAAAGTGAAAGTAAAAAAATTCCTGGATCCACCTCCTCATCCAGATCCAGAACAGATCCAAAATTTTACACGATCTTCCTTGGGTCATGCCCCATCTCTCAAATAACTACGTAAACAAAAACATGACCTCTCCGGCAAAGGTAGCAATAATAATAATGATACAAATAAATATTATTATCATTATTATTATTCATATGAATGAGCTGAAGATTCTGGAAGTAAGCAAACATTCCAAACCACACTGATATTTCTAATGACATGTTAAAAGCACCTAACCCATATGTGGTGTAGTTCCCTTTACATCTAAATAAGGATGGAAACCTTCAGTATGATAATTATTCAGGTGCTTGTGGCTCATTGGTTCATTCATTTTCTTATGTATATCCTTCATTTTTATTCACATTCAACATTCTGACTTGTTTCTCCTCTTCATTACTCCTTATCTACAAATAGGAGAAACAAATAATTTGCTCCCCTGCACATGTATATGAGTCTTGCATTGTTGATAAAAAAAACATGCATTTGAATGTTCATCTTCTGGGAAGTGCAACCAGATCTCCACACGGTTACAGACAGGCTCCCTGGTCATTAGCTCAGTTATGAAATCCTGCCGCACCACGTCTCTGCTGCCAGGCTGCTAACAGCACTGTCAGTCACACACCTGAGCTGAGAGCGTCCACGGGCTGACTGACAGTTGCACTGCAGTGCCTTGCGCTGTCCTGCGACTGTCCGTTTCCGTCGCTTTCTCTATTTCCAAAACAAGTACGTTTTGTGGCGCGGACGTTTTAAGACGAGCCTCGGTTTGTCATGTTTACACCCCGACATGCTACTGCTGAAAGAGAAGTGCAGTGAGTCTGCACACAACATGTGCCTGCTCAGGAAACGCACGTCAACACAGGCTCTTCTCAAACTGTTGGATGGACTCGTTGACTTTTAGGGGACAGTCTTACAGATGGGGATAGTGGCAGATATTTCTAGATAGTCCCTTTGATTAATGGTGTTGCACCCACAATAGACTGTCACACTTCTGTACAAGTGGCCAATGACTACATAACGTCCATGATTGTCCAAATGATTGCTTCCGAAAGTCATTCAAAATGGATGCCCCCCCCCCACACACACACATTATTGTAGAAAACGATTCAAGTAAAAGTACTGATTCAACCTCTCTCAAATAAAACTGTATAAGTACAAACATTGAAATGTACTCAAGAGTATAAAAGTAAAACTCATTTTAGTGTTTACTGTATCTAGTGTTTACTGTTTTTATATGCAAAGCAAACTGAGACTCATCTCACATTATTATAGTTTGAATATTTAACTGAAGCCTATTTTGAATTAGAACGAACAGATATATGTGTTAAAATCTACTTAACAGCAACAAAATATTTGTACTTTGTTACTTCCCACCTTTGGGTTGTGAGGCTAACGCCACTCCCCGACCAAACTAATACTCTTTTGTCTGAATGGCAGCAAATCCCTGCAGGGAATTTCTGTTCCAATGTCTGCATGACATAAATTACATCTTGTCTTCACCATCATCAGGATCTTAAAATGGCTGTGATGTTTTATGGCTGGTGACAGGGTACACCAATCGAACACCAAAACTATTGCAAGCTGTAAAAATGTAATGGTGCAATATTGGAGAGTAGCTAAGTGACATCTTGTCAAGGTTATTTTATTATATTTTGCAGGCATGGCTCCTTACTCCACTTTTGCAGTTTCCTCAGCAGCTATATTTGTTTTCTTTCGAATAGCCTGCGAGCCTGGAATGAAAGCCTATTTAGCGGGCTGTAAGGGCCTCCTAAATCTACTTACAAATCTTCATTGGTCTGTTTTTCACAGAGGCTTATAGTGCTTCAAGGTGGTGAACAGCAAATGCCTTTTCAGAGTAAGAAAAGATATCGACTTAATTTTTTATTTAAAAAAAATGGTTGTGCAATGTCAAATTTGATATGACTCTACCCAGGGGGAAATATTCATTGTTAGCAATCAACACGATCAACATACTGGTTTAAACCTAACAAACAAATCCAGCCTGGCCTTGTGTAAAGTGCACTCGGCCCTGCGTTGTCTGTTTGTGTCAACAGGGTCTCGCTGCATCGATCCCCCTCTCCCAGACCTCCTTCATTATCTCCCAATCAATTCAGGATGCCCCTTCTTGTAGCCCTGATGTGGGGAGAAATACTGCCTCGAGCATGTGGGAGTACGCGTGCACATGGGACATTTTCTGTTTGCTATCTGATCTGTGGCCTTTTTTTTTTTTTCCACGGATCTGTAATGAAAAGCTATCGGGGGGAAGGGAGGGAGGGAGGCTGAGGAGAGAGTTCTCAGAGGCCACAAACGCCCAAGGTTATGGAGGCCATTATTCTACCTGATGTAGTAGATGCAGGATTGAGCCAAAGCTGGAGGACGTATAATAAATACGCCAAATGATTCAATGCCCCAACCCCCCCACACCACCAACTACTCCAACCCACCCTCACCGCACACACATCCCAACAAATAATCACCGCTACCCTTGTGACTGCACTGTAGATCTCGCCGGACCCGACCGCTATCTGGCCCTGCCAAAGGGAATGAATGTTACAAGGTGTATATAAATTGCTGCACTCAGATGTTCAGGGGGGGACATTTAATGATATTACATTAATAAGATCGTAATAAGGCGATGGCATGCATGGGAGCTGGAGTGGAGCGGAACAGCTGCAGAGCCAAATCGAAAAACGTGCACCTCTCCGCATGTGCGCTGGCTCTCGAGACATGCCTGTCCAGATGTGTGCAGCAGCGGGGTTTTCAATCAGTCCTGCTGCAGCAGACTCCAACTTTTCTCTCTGATTCATTTCAAGGGAGTCAATGAACCTGGAAATAAAAGGGCTTAATTTCAATTACATTTATGCAAAAATACAGTTTGTTCGTAAAGAGCTATTCAAGGTACTCAAAGAAACTTTATACAGGATTAAAAGACGGACACACTAAAGATAAAAACATTGCCATACATTTAAAGCAATTCTGAAGGGGTGAGTTCTGGGTAGGGATTTTGAAAGTGGATTCCAGAGAGAGGGGGCAGCTATTGAGAAGTCTCTGTCATCCCAGGTCCGATGCTTGGTCCTGTGTGGAATGGAGAGGATGCGGGCTTTGTTGGTGAGGAGGAAGATTTCGAATTGGAAAACGCTGAGGGACCAGGAGCCAGTGGAGGTTCCCGGAGGACAGGGGTGATGTAGTCATCATCAGTGAGCAGACAAGCAGCAGAGTTCCGGAGAACGCTGTTGCAGTAGTCAGTAGATTCTGGATGTGATAAAGGCCTGGATCAGGGTGGACCTGGAGATGAGGTATTGTCAAGAAAGACTCCACACTATCAATTGTGGCCAAAGATATTGTGATGCAGCCAACCATCCACAAGCTCACTACTAAATCCTTAAGGATCTCACAAGATGTATGAATCCTTATCTTTCGAAACTGGAAGTAGCCCCTGTGCTGGGACAGAAAGCCACAGTCAGTTGGTTAAATGTCCTGCTCGCTTGTCAAAATCATATTTTTGCTGACTCTACATTTCAGTTTGACTTTCTGAGAGGAGAACATGCGGGCTTGACAAATTCAAAAAATCCAATCCATCCAGCCTTTCCCCCTCAGCTGATGTGCGTTTGTTGTTTTCAAATGACTCGACATAATGTGAATGACCGTCATCCATAATGCATCAAACCAAGGTTACATACTGTATGTATATTACCGGGTTTAATGGCTCACTTGCGTGCCCTGATGTGTATTTCTCACCGACTGGATCTGAAAGCAGTGGCAGGGACTCAAATCACAATTTACCAAACACCAATGTTTGGAAAAAACGTGGGACAAAGACCAAACAAAACCTGGTTAATAAACCTGGTTTTCTTGCAGCCCAGCTGGACTAATTTATATAAGAAGATCTCAGATTTGATAAACCACAAACGGTATTTACAGCCACCCTAACAACCGCTGCAGGCTCAAAAAACCTACAGCAAGAGCCTCTGCAAAATTATAAATAAAAGATTTTGTCAGAAGGGGGTAACTCTAAAGATGTAAGTGAAAAAAACTATCCAGGCTTCAGAAACCTATAGTATGTAATCTGACATTCACTTTTTTAGTCCAAACTGTATATATTCACAACCCGATGTCATACATAAACAACAAGAGTAAATACTACAAATACAACAAACATTTGTGACTGGAGCACTTTGTTTCTGCTCACCTAAGGAAATATTTTTATATTTTTAGCACGAATATGTTGCTGCTGAACATACATGCAAGATGTTCGTA